CCTCTTGAAATTCTATTGCAACTACCACAAAATATGTAGTCAGTAGCTATACTTAGTGGTAACTCACAGAGTAAATACAGGTAACTAGAAGTCAAAAGCGTGAACATTTTCTAATATTCTTCTGAAACAAAAATTCCTATGTCACATATACAGATTTGGTTTTTTTAGTGTTGACACTTAAGGCCTAAAGTCTTATACTATCACACTTCAGTATCCGGCTTTTGTGGCTGCTTAATAGAGCTTTTTGTGGCTCTGGCTCAGGGATCACTTCTGGCCAACTTGGAGGACCTTATGGGGTTCCAGGAATTGAACCTGGGTTGACTGTGTGCAAGGAAGTTCCCTCCCCACTGTACTATTGCCCCTGACCCTGACTCCATTATACTCTGGTCCATAACATTACCTAAGGTATCTCTAGGTCATTGTTTCTTACAACAATGACTGAATAAATTAAGAAGTATGTGCTAATTACCCTTATTTTATTATTTTAAGAATTATGATAAAGCTGCTTTTATACATGTCTAAGAACATTATTGAAATTTAAGACAGAAACTAGTATAGAAAGTGGGTTCATCTATTTTAGTCTAAAATAAATTTTTTGAAAATAATGATAAAAATATCTTTGATATTGAAAACTGTATAAAGTATAATGCAGAACATATGCAATTTCTACTTTGGGTTACCTTTATGTCAAAGTAAGGAGTGGAAAAAAATCCATTCAAATTTAAGAAGATGAATTGACATTTGCTAGAGAGACATGATTTGTTTTCTTTTAACAGATATAAAATATTGATAGCAACATACCCAAGAAAATTTGGAATACTACTATTTTAATTAATATTAATGTGGTGTGAAATCAAATTAATTCTCAAATATCACTATTTACCACTTTCATATTACTTTTGCTTTAAAGGAGTTGGGGGATTTAACTGTCAGTATATATAACATTATTCTAATTTGTAAGATATTACTCAATGGGAAATAAGATCGACAAAGAAAAAATTTTAACAAGATGACTCATTTAATGAATGCTTGGAAATGACTAGCTTTAAAGGCAGCTAACATTAATTTGGAAAGAATAAATTTAAATTTTGGCATTGTTCACAGATAGAAAATAATTAACAGAATATCAAAATATTATCTATTTCTAGAACAACATGTGCTAATGTTAACAAGTGCTAATAAAATATTAAGTTGGAAAGTGCATCATAACAAGTGCTAATAAAATATTAAGTTGGAAAGTTTTATACTAATATAGGTATATCTTAAGAGTAAAAAGTATTATAAAATTCTCTCTAGAGTATGAGTCTCTTAAATTTAGTGTGATTCAACTGCATAGCAGGAACTGTTCTATCATTAAGTAGATGGCTCACTGAAAATTCAAATATAAGAACAGGAAATAATAACTCTACTACTGAGGATAGCTGGGATTTTGAGCAGTACCTCCATCTTTGAATTGTCCAAGAAAAGTTCCAGAAGGAGGCAAGGTGTAAGCAAAGATAAGCGAGTGAACAAAATGGCTTGTGAGAACTGGTAGGAGAGGAAGTACAAAAGGTAAGGTACATGCCTTAAACACAATTGGCCCGGGTTGAACTGCATGTGGCCCCCTAATTCATTCCAGGAGTGATGACAGAGCACAGAACCAGGAGTAAGCTCTGATGGGCGGGTAAGGTATAGACCCCAAACAAAACAAAACAAAAATGAGGTGATTCTCCTAACATCTTCTGGCCTTCCAACAAACCCTGAAGGGCTCATAAAATTACTCCTGCTTCCAGGTAACTGAGACACTGCAGTGCTACGTAAAAAGATGTTGTCTGCAGGGTTGGGCAAATGTGAAAAAAAAAAAAAACAAGATTCATCTCTTCTGACAAATAAATATGTTAACTGAAATCAAGTAGGCAAAAGTGAGAGGTGATTTCTTCAAGTTCCAATCCTCTAAATGCAGCAAACATTATTCACCTGACATTTGGTTAGGATTACAGAAGCAGAGTTCCACCTCTAGAGATTCAGAGAAAAAGACACTAACCAGGAGACTGTCTTATGACAGGTTACCTGGGGGGATGGCCCAGTAGGTGGTTTCTTCTATCACACAAAAGAAAGAAACCCTTTCACAAAGTATATATAAGCACCAGGAAACATGAAATTCTAAAGGGTGATAAGCTTAAAATAACCGAAACCCATAATATACTTGAAATACAAATAGAGCTGTCCAGGGGATAGATTTGGTATTAATAGATGCAAGTATTTAGGTAGCACTGTAGCACGTTCCTCCCATGGTCCTCCCGTTGTTTGAGACTTGTTGTTACTGTGCTTGGCATATAGAATACGTCATGGGTAGCTTGCCAGGCTTTGACATGCAGGCGAGATACTCTCAGTAGCTTGCCGGGCTCTCGGAGAGGGGAGAAGGAATTGAACCTGGCTTGGCCCCACTGGCTGCATGCAAGGCAGACGCCCTACCACTGTGCTATAGTATTTAGGTAACCTGTCAAAAATATATACAGAGGTCACAGTAGTACAGCGGTTAGGGGTCATGTCTAACATGCTTCCAACCTTGGTTTGGTCCTTGAAACCCAGACAACCCAGAAACACAGACAGCCCCTTTGAATTGCTGGGTATAGCCCCAGCTGGTTCCAAGTACTGCCAGCTGTAGGTTCAGAGGTCCTCAGCACTACAATACCTGAGCAGCACCCTATTTCCGGGCCCATGCAGTGAACAACTGACCCAGCTACTAAGAATTTCCCAAGTCACCCCCAGATATACTGAGCACTGCTTGGAAGGCCCTCAATAGGAAAAATATTGATAGACTCCCCTGATATTATTCAGTGTAATTAATTAAATAGCAACCTTGGGTCAAGAATATTAAATAATGTTTTGTGTTATATACCTTCATTTTTTAATTTTTTTTACATGACAACTAAAACACTGAAAAATATAGTACTACATTTGTCTTTGGGCCAAAACTGTTTCACATTTTGAGCAGAGAATTAAGTTAGCACTAAATATTGCTTGCCAGGGCTCTTTTCCAATTTTATAAATTTAAAATCTATCTAAAGAAAAGGGGCTACATATTTATTTATACTTTTGAAAATGCCTTTCATTAAGATATTAAGGATAATGTGCAAAATTTTAAAAAAAGACATGAATCAAGGGAGGAAGGCAATGAACTCATTGCCTCTGATATACTGCACAGAACAAGGAATCCTGTTCTGAAACAAGTGAATCCATTAAGGAATGTTGGGGAAGTGCTAAAGTTAGAATCTCCTAAAAAGTCCACCTGTGTGCATACAATAAGGCTGTAAATGTCAACATCACTGTAATATACATTATCTTTACTATACAAAAATTTTTAGAAGTTTCTGACTTACTTCTCAATTAACATTATTATATCTAACCCATCATTCGAGTTTCAAAAGTTCAGCTAGATGGCAAGTTTCCTGATGGTGCTCATTGTAATCCCTGGTAAAGAACTGCTCCACCCTACGTGAAGGAGCATCTGTATGACCACAGATGGCCAATGGCCATAGAGAGGGAGTTGTATAAGGAAATGTTTGGGACTCTACTTTTTTGTTTTGTTTTGTTTCACATAAATTCCTTTTCTCCTCTTAACAACTCTGCATTATAGATAGTATCATCCTGAGAGATTAAAAATCAAATAATTAAGTTTGTCTATAAGTTAAAGACAGAAAGAAGTTCTCCTAAAATAGTAAACTGTGCTGGAAAAAAAATTTTTTTCAGTTCACTTGAATCAAGATAGAGCTCTATCTTAAGTATTTGTTGGGGATATGTTTATTTGGTGATATGATCATATTTATTACAATTTTTGATCATTGGGATATTTGATAAATTTCTCGTCTAATTCCCCTTATATAACTTATGTCCTCAAAAATCCTCTGGAAAAAGAAATACAAATTTTGACAACATTCTGGTTTACTTCCAGATTGTAAATGTTCCAGTAGGTTGAACGTGCTGACACAGCCTAAGTCATCAAGATTAAATGTTCAGACTCAAGAAGAAATACATTAAATAAACAAAGAAACAGAACTACTAATTTTATTCATTGAAACAAACAATGCCATGTTAAACAATTAGACAAGAATAAAAAAAATTATACATGCCAGTCTGTTAATCATAGAACTGTTTTTAATGATGAAAATTCAAATATGAAACAATGAAAGCACTGGGAGGTTAAGCGGTTAGCTCAAGATGTCTAGCTTGCAACTAAAAATACCCTACACAGTTCTAATCTTCATTTACTAAGACAGAAAGGGAGCTACACCACGTTTTAAAGAAAATAATTATGTCCAGATCATTTATTTGCTATGATCTTTGAGACTGTATACTTGGAAAACTGAAACCCAGTATGTTAAGATAAGTCACTTCCAAGTGGAAAAATTGCAATTTTCTTAAATTATTCTTTATTTCTTAATCATTGTGTTATTTTGTTGCTGTTGAGATATAACAATTTACAACACTATTGAAATCGTTATTTTATGCTTGGAAAGTTATCAACCCACTCCACCATGGTCTCAAGATCCCTCCACTGTTGTCTCAAGGTCCCAAATTATTTGTTTTTCTATAATTTCTGCTCTTTTGTAGTGGAACTCATTTCTATTAAAATATTTTAAGATATTATGCATAATTTAATAATAAATCTCATATTCAAATAATTTAATATTTTAAAATAAAATTATGTTTAAAATATACTATTACTTAAAAATAAATCAAGCAGGGACTGGAGAGATGGTACAGGAACTTATTCTTTTCAGTACCCAGCACTTTATGATCCCCAAAGTTTGGGTAGAGCAGCACCTCATCCTCTGGTCCTCAAATTGGATCCAGTCTGGTTGGCCTCATGAGAAGTGCTTGGAAGAGGCTCCTGGGGCTTCCTGAGCATTGTGTGGGAGAGTTCCCCCAAATACATAGGCAGCATATTTTTCTCCAAGAATAACTAAATCAATATTTTAATATTTAAATATTTTTCTTTTTATCACAAGATTGTAGTTTTTGCTATAGAATGTCTCATAAATTTGTATGTTATCCTTGTACAAGGCCCATAGTAATCTTCTCTGTTTAAGTCTCATTATACTACAGGTTCTCCTTGTAAAGCTTGTAGTGTCCTGATTTTGCTACCTAAGTACTCCATTCATGTGATCTGCTACTTTGATATGAATCTTTCCATACTTACAAATTGATGTCCAATATAGAGATTTCTTGTGTTTACCTTCCTGTCAGCTGAATTTGAGTCAATTTAGTACTAATATTAATATTAATTTTAAGTACATTTCTAGTTAATATGCTTGCAACTAACATTATGGAACTTTTGGCAAAATATCTAAGAATAATAAAGAGTTTTTCATTTAAAAAAGACGAATGTAAACTGTTTCAAAATTAAAGCAATGTTTGTCTGAAATTTTATATGTGCCAAAATAATGAGATATTTTAAAAAATCCGTGTTGTCTATACCTCACATAATACAAAAAAATATTTTATGACCCCCAAATAAAAAATTGACAACATATTTACTTTTATAAAATATAAACTTCTAAAATTAAATACAAGAATATCCTTAAAGTAACACAAATTTCTTAGACTATACACAGTAAATAAAATTTACAAAACATAACAGATATATTGAACTTCATCAAAATTATGTTTTGTTTTTTAAAAGATACTATGAAAAGCCAAGATACTTAAAATATTTCTAATACATAAAATAAAAAATGACTTGCAGTCATAAACAAAATATATTTATATTTAATAATAAAAACATACCACTTAAAATGAACAAAAGAATTGAACAGTTCATCAAAGAATATATAATTATAGTCAATAGATACGTAAAACAGAGTTCAACATTAGTCATCAAGAATTTAAATTTATAATCACTTTACAGTATTATGCAAACATTAAACACACACACATACACATATACAACGATAAAAAGCTGGCAGTTCTAATGCCAAGTAAGGGCTTGATGAACAAGTACAACTCTCATTTGGATGGTTCTGATGGAAGAGAAACAACTCTGGAAACATTTGGTAGTCTTTAAATTTCAATGTATACATATACAATGAACTGAGAGATTTCTTAAAATTATATAGCACCAACGGAATTTGTATAATTTTATTTATATAAAATTTTAGAATGCACAATACTAGAAAATAATGATAAAAATAAGATAATTTACTAGAGATGATGACAAGATTTGTCATAAAGTAAAAGGGAGAACTTTATAGGGAGATTTAAAAAAAAAAAAACCTTGTTCAATAGCTCCCTTATGGTGATAGTTAAATGGGTACATAGATTTGAGAGAACTTGCTAAATATACACTTAAAATGCATGAATTTTATAGTGTGCAAATCATGTGTAATAATTTTATTATTCTGGGGGCTTTGGGGGTCAATCCAGCTATTCTCAGGGTTTATTCCTGGCTCTATGATCAGGTTTCACTCCTGGTGCAATATGAAGTACTTGAGCGATTAAATGGGGTCTGATGCATGTAAAGTAAGTGCCTTAATCCCTGTTGCCAGTCCCAACAGGGATGGGGGACTGTTGGGAGGGGTGGGGGGGTTATCAGTAATTTTTAAAAGAGCTTATGGGGAATTAGAAATAAGAAAGCTCTTTACACTAGAGGTTCTTCAGCTTTAGTTTGCAGCAGAATCAGCTGGAAAGCCGCTTTCTAAGGTAGACTGCTGGATCACACCCCAAGTTTATGAGTCTATAAATAAGTATTTATTATCCCAGCATTTTGCATTTTCAACAAATTATTAGGTGATACTGATGTTGGTCCAGAGAGCACATTTTGAGAGCCACTTAATAAAAGAAGACAGAAATGATTCCTAAATGAGGACAGTAGGTCAATCTCAGAAAGCTAGCCTTACTGCAGTTATATAGAGCGCAGTTTTACAAATTTGGGTCTACAAATATGCTTTTAAATTTAGTGAAAGTGAAATTTAGTATTCAAAGTAATTTTTTTAAGTGGCTGGCCTTTTATGGCTTTCATGGGTCCAAGATGTTCTTAGAAATTGAGAGGGAGCTGGCAAATTCTCTAAAATTCAGCAGAATTTTTCTGTATACATGATTTTTTTTTCCCCCTGAAGAGAGTGCCAGGTTTAATCAAATGTTCAAAAGAATATTATCAAAAAGCATAAAGACATACTGAAGTAACTCTGTGAGTATCCTTCCCATTTAAAATTTCTATACACAGTCTTTTTTCAAGAGAGGCAGTAGGTGAAGATGAAAGTTTACAACTTCAATTTATTTTAAGCATTCAAGGTTTTAGAACTAAGCCTTGGCATAAATATTATGTAGGTCACTAATGTGAAGAGAAATGAATTTAAGATTCGCCACTGAAAAATAACAGATAAAGAGTTTCTGAGCTCTCCATGGCATTTGCAGAGGTGCAATATTTTTCAAATAAGACTAAGATATAGCACAGCACTGTAGCACTGTCCTCCCGGTGTTCATCGATTTGCTCGAGCGGGCACCAGTAACGTCTCCATTGTGAGACTTGTTACTGTTTTTGGCATATCGAATATGTCATGGGCAACTTGCAAGCTCTGCTGTGCAGGAGCGATACGCTCGGTAGCTTGCCTGGCTCTCTGAGAGGGGTGGAGGAATCGAAGACTAAGATATAAATAAGTAAAAATTAAGATTTCTGAAGTAAAATAGGGTTTGGTTTTGTTTATTTGCTTTTTGGGTCACACCCGGCAGTGCACAGGGGTTACTCCTGCCTCATGCACTCAGGAATTACTCCTGGTGGTGCTCAGGGGAGCATATGGGATACTGGGAATCGAACCCAGGTCGACCTTATGCAAGGCAAATGCCATACCCACTGTGCTATTGCTCCAGCCCCAAATTAGTACCTTTAAAACAAAGGTATTCTTAATTTTATCACATCTGTATCTTTCCCCAATATTTCTGCTTGTAATGTACTTAACACAACTATTAATGTAAAATTTGTAACAATACCATGTGGCCTGAGTAATGTAAATAGAGGACTTGTGGACACAAGAGACTTTTCATTTGCACCAAATTTTCTTTTGTAGAATATGCAATAATGTTGAATGTTAGGATTATTTTACACCGATTTTAGTAAGACATATAAACATTTTCATGGGGACCAGGATATGGCTTAGTGGTAGAATACAAGTCTCATGTGTTTGATACCCTGCCCACACAAACAAAAGCAATGGAACTGCCTCAAATTATATCATAATATGGCATTTATCTCTATTCACTGCCCACTATATGAGGAACAAGAAAAAAAAAACTCTCTTATTTCTTAAAAAACTTTAAATAGATTAATTTTCAGTCTGCTTTATTATAGTTTTTGCCCTAAATACACATTTAAAGATTTTAGTTTTTCAATTGTCAAAAACCTTGTTACATTCAATTATTTCATTTTATGGAAAATGCAAATAACCAATGAGTTTAACCCTCAAGAGTTAGTAAAATATTAAGCAGCTATATTTCACAATAAATGTCAAAGACTACTGAAAATTCAAGTTCATTGACTATTTTGTGACTCAGGCATACACAGAAAACAATTTAATTGTAAAGCACAACAACCTCTACTTTCAGACTACTTTCATTCTTTCAGACTTGCTTCATGCAAAGGCCTGACATTTTAATGCATGTTTTTCAACAGGTTCTTTATATACATGTTCATAATCCAGGTAACATACTGATTCCTGTTTTTCTTAGAAGTTGAAACCCAACTTTTCCCTTATCTAAACAATATTTTCACCCCAATTTAAAAATCTTAGCATAAAATCACCTTACGGAATGATATTCTTTTTCTGCTCTTGTCCAAGATGTTGCTAACAGCTTTTAATTTGGGAAGTCTATCTCTGAGTTTTCTGCGCCTCACTGGTTTCAGCTCAATTGTTTCTCTACCCAGCAGAGCATTTCATTTCTCCTGAAGGTCACTGCAGCCTGCCAAGGCTTTCCAAACATACTATCTTTTCATTCATACTGCAATCTAACCCTGCAGTGCCATTAAAGAGAAATGGAAGCAGGAATGCGACTTTTTGTATCAACAATTACTGAATTTATTATACTAAAAGCAAATGTCTATCAGTGAACAAGAATCTGTCATAAGTAAAATTTTTAAGGCAATGGAAATTATGATTTGTGTTTTAGTAGTTTGTCGGTGAACAGATAATTATTTGTATAAATTATACCACAATGTCATCTGCTTTTAGAAGTTACTCTTCCAACCATATCACTACCAGTTGCAATAAACCAATGATGCAAGAAGCAGCCCGTATCTAAAGATGCTCATAAAATGAGCACCACATTGACCATCTGTTGGAGGAGGGATGGCATTAAATGTAATATGGGCCTGGAACACATCCAATATTGTTTATTCTGTCACATATCAGATGAGCACCGAAATCAAATTGATGATATTTTAATTCCAAAGGGACAAGAAATGGACAGAGAGCAGAGAAGAGAGATGTTTCTGATATATATATATATATATATATATATAGTATATATCTATATATGGGATAACTTGATTGAAAGAGAAAAATTAAAAAATTAGTTCTGATAATCTCAGAGGAGAGTAATCTATATTATACATGCCAAACATTTATTAGTGGGCTAACAAATTCAACATAATATTGTATTGGTGTTTTTAGATAATGCTGCTACAAAATATAGCTCTCTTAGCTGAAAAAAATCAAATCACCAACACAAAGTACTTAAAAGTTTTAAGGATAAAACATTTTATATATATTTGAACTATATGAAAATGCTTCTAAATTAGATTATTTTTAAAAAATTTTTTTATTAGTGAAACACCATGAGGTACAGTTATAGACTTATAAATTTTTGTGCTTGGGTTATTTTTAATAAAAATTAAAATTATAAGACTCTTCCTACCCATTTTCCACAATTACTACACCATATCTGATTGGGTTCAAACAGTAGGCAACAAATCATAGATAGAAATATATAAATATATGCCTCTCAGAGAGCCCAGCAAGCTACCGAGAGTACCCTGCCCACATGGGCAGAGCCTTGCAAGCTCCCTGTGGTGTATTCGATATGCCGAATACAGTACCGACAACAGGTCTCATTCCCCTGACCCTGAAAGAA